ATGACTATGTTTAAGATATTATCAAGGTTGTTAAAATCGTATTTTTGCATCAAATTGGTACAAGGATTTGAAAATCGACTCGTAAATTGTAAGATTTTATAAAATTAGTATATACAAATTATTAATACACATAGTTATACATATTTATAGAACAACCATCACTCAACAAATTAGTATGATATGTTAATCAAAGTTCACGATAAGTATGAATAATAAAAGCACAAATTAAAGTTATACACTTATACTACGTATAATATAGAAGGATGAAATGTATAAATATTGAATGATGAAATCAAACCCAAAATCCTAAGAGTGTATGTTTTTTTCTTAAATGCAAAATATTATGGTAAAATGTGAGACTTAATTTGGGTAGATTTGTGTGTTCAGCAACTCGGCCTTAATTTGTACACTAATAAAGCTAAACGTTCATGTTAGTTGTGTTGGTTAAGTTGGTAGTTGAGGAAAATTTGTATGGGTTATGATGACATGGGTTTGAATCCTCCTAACAGAATTGTTTTGATTTTAAGGTTTTTGACTTTTCTCTGTGCTTTCTTCCCACACCAGAACTGAGAGCGAAACTTATCATTCCATTCCTTATAAAATCTCTTAAAACGCTGATGTTTGATTGCAACAAAATGCGCCGCTAACAAGTATGTTACGGGCATAAATTGTCAGTTAAATTCAAAATTGCAAAATCAGCGAAAATCATGATTTTAAGCGATTTTGAATGATTTTAACTCGGTTTCATGCGACTTTTGTGAAATCCGATTCTGCTTGCGATTTGAATTGACTTATAATAATGAATCGTAAAACCGTACGATCTTACTAGTTGAGTTGTGATTTTAACAACCTTGGATATTATAGCATTTTTAACTAATTATTAATTACATAGTGCTTTAATAGAGTGATAAAGAAGAGTAAATATATAGTTTATTCTAACGAAAGCTAAGGATCTGCAATTTTATTAACGAATAATACAGAAAGATATCAAGGAACGATCTGCAATTTTATTAACGATGAACAAAGAACTGGCCGAAGCCCCCAATGGCCGAAGCCCCCAATGGCCGAAGCCCCCAAAGAGAGAGAGTATTAGTCTCAATCTTCCCAGTACAAGACCAAAGTCTAAAACAGCCTCCTTACTACTCCCCCTTCCCATCTATTTATACTACAATACATCAAGTGTCCTTATTACTAATATTCTTATTAGTACTTCTATTATTAGTCTTATATAAGTGGGTTCCTATCAATACTCCCTCCCTAAACATCCGCCTTGTCCTCAAGGTGGGTAATAGGAGAAAGCCAAAATCTTTTGCTTCCTCTTCCTCTTCCTTGTTCCTCTCCCTTCCCAATATCGAACTGATTTTGGGATCATGAACCTTTCCAAAGATGTCTCGCAGCTTATAAACCCCACCACCACTCTGGATCCTGATGCCCTGTACTGCCGCATGTATACTGGTGTATTGACAAGCAAGGAAGGAATTGCACATTGATAACCAGTACATTGATACTGAGGTATAGCTATAACTATTTTCCCATCAAGTAGGGTTCCACTTCCATATTTCCAGCATCTACATTTAGCTTGGTTTCCCTTACAAGAGCACAAGTGGAACAATTCAGTTCTGGTTCATTGGAGCCTAAGATCATTTTGTAAGGTTGAAAATTTGCTTCAGCTTCCAATCCCATGACCATACTCTGAGTATTAAGATCCAGGACCACACTGATTTTATCCAACTGATATTCAAAAGTAAATTCATCAGCCCCTTTCAATCTATAATTACAGGAGTCTCAATTTGCATAAAGTGTCAGACTGCAGTCCTTAACTCCCATCCCAGATTTGACATTGGAGTGAATGAAGACTGATCCTTCAAATGCACAAATCTGTAGATCATTCTTTCCCAACTGCCCTGCTAAGATATTCTGGACTTTTACCCCCTTTTTATCCCCGATAACTTGATCCTGACTGTCAGAATCAGCAACATACTTGTCCATAGACACATCATTCACCAATTCTTTTGAAAATTCTTCCTAGAAGTAACCCTTTCCGCTCTAAGACTATCAGACGTGTTCATTCCTTCTAACGTAATGTTTGATGACTGACAACCCATCGTTTCGGTGTTGAAGACATTTGGCCAGTTCATCAGTTGTACAAGGTGAGAAGGAACATTACCTATCTGAAGAAACTTGAACCTATTCGTTTCAAGGTTTGGCTGGTCCAGATAGTACGTGGAAAAAATCTTACCCCTGGTGAGTTCAGCAACGGCACCAGCTTCATGTTCAAAGTTATCTGATAATTTCTTCTTGTGTTCCTTGTCACCATTCTGCTGATTAGTCAACTCCTGATGCAATTCAGGGGACTCAGATGGATATTGCGAAATGGGGTCTTCTGTTTTCCTAGAAACCAGAGGTCCTGAAGAAATTGCTTGTGAACTTGGAGGAGCGACTTGATACGAAGAACGCGAACAGTGAGAATGGATTGGCGAGGAGGAATATTCTCCTCTCACTCGCGTCTTTCTTGGAACCGAACTGATAGCCGGTGACAAATTCCGCGAATGATGATGCGTAGAGCGATGAGAAGAGCGATGCGACGAACCTTGTTTGTCAGTTAGCAGAAGAGACCTATTCTTCCTCGATCGTTCTTCAATTTTCTGCGACGCCTCTGATCTTCCAATTCCTCTGAACTAGCTGAGTGTTGTGATTGATGACGGTGAGAAGGACGATGCGATGCAGATGAGCGAGGTGATGCAGCTGAGGTGTGCGATCTACTTCTCGATCGATCTGTCTTTCGCGAGTGATGATGAGAGTCGTGATGCGTAGTAGAATGTTCAAATTCTCTTCCGATTCCTCTGGATTAGATGACCTTCTTGAATGATAATGCAAAGTATGATGAGAAGAACTATGCGAAGAGTGATGGAAAGAGTTATGCGAAGAACGATGCGAAGGGTGCGAAATGTGCGACGTATGCGATCGATTCTTAGAACGACTTTGAAGTCTGTTCTGCACATCTCCGATGCTAGCTTGTATCACGGCTTCCATCGCAGCCAGATTCGCCTCCATATTAGTCTGGAACTTCCGCAGATTTCTATCCATATTCCTTCCAAATTCTACCAAATTTTCCTCAACTTCGTTGATTAGTCTTTCCATCCTTGCGAGTGTGTAACTCATCCATCGAACGACGCGCTCTGATACCGCTGATAGAGATGTCCAGAATTACAGAATAATACAGAAAGATATCAAGGAACGATCTGCAATTTTATTAACGATGAACAAAGAACTGGCCGAAGCCCCCAAAGAGAGAGAGTATTAGTCCCAATCTTCCCAGTACAAGACCAAAGTCTAAAACAGCCTCCTTACTACTCCCCTTTCCCATCTATTTATACTACAATACATCAAGTGTCCTTATTACTAATATTCTTATTAGTACTTCTATTATTAGTCTTATATAAGTGGGTTCCTATCAAAAAGCAATGGCGATAAGGTTTAGATTAAAAAAGGAATCGAAAACAAAATTTATATATAGTAACATTCTGTAGAGTTTTTATTGTTAGTACAGCGGACACCAATCAAGGGAAATAATCTGCTTTTATTGTCTACAACCAACATTACAAAGGCCATTGCAGTCACAGCTTGATCTGCTTTTATGTAGACACAGCAAAAGAATGGTTTCTGTGGTCAATAAAACAAATGCCAATCTCCAAAAGTAACTAGAATTGATCTGTCGAGCTTTTCTAAAATGAGTAGAGCAACTAATATAGAGTTTGTAGTCCATGCCTACATGCTTAACTAAAGCATGCCCACAATGAAAACAGGATGAAGTACTCTTGGGAATAGGACAGCAAGACCATTGTTTGTACTTCATCGGTATTTATTATTTGTTCTGTATTCCTTTTTGAGAAATATTTAATTATTTGTTCCATTTCCATTTTGGTAAACTTGACCATACCATTTCATCTATTTTTCTACTTTTATCTTCGGTTTATATTTCTTCAATTGCTCTTTCCTACAGTATTCACTACCACTACTCTCTTCTGATGTAAACAATCATTATCAACCATACTATTTTCTTCTTAATCTACTTGGAACCCTATATTAACATAGTAAAATATGGAGTATAATATAACCAGTTATAAAAAAATACTCAGTAGGACTCATGGCAGGGGCGTAGCTAGGGAGGGGGCCAACCCTGCTCCTAGCCCAACCCAAATTTTAAAAATGTCCATATTTTTAAGGTAAAAAATTCCGTGTAAATTTTTTCGAAAATTATTCTTTGTACTGGCCCAGTCTGACCCAGTGCCCTGGCTCCGCCCCTATCTCATGGCTTATAGCTGCATTGTGTAGTTTTGAATCCAAGCATACATGTTGAATCCAGGAAAGATATATGTTTCCTGGATTGGTTGACCCGCAAGGGGGGATGTTGGACCAATGACCATGGCAGTGGAGTTCACAGCTCCTATGTGCTGGATTGGGTCTCTGGTACGCACGGGTATAAGACCTACCATCGTTAGAGCATCTCCAATGGGAGGGTGCATTGCAGCTGATGTGGCATAGGAGAGAGATAGAGATGGAATAAATATTTGGATGAAGTGGTGTGTTGGGAAAAATGAAAAAGAGGAGAAAGATAGAGGTAAAAATGGACCAAGGTCTATGACAAGGTCCATATATGGACCTTATACGGGATTCGAGGAGGAAAAGATGATGAAAAGTGGATTAAAAGTAATATAAAAAAATGAAAAATGAAAATAAATTAGGAATACGTATTACGTGGGTCCTACATATAAAGATTGTGAAATAAAAAATGGGATCCATACGTAAGAGTGTGTAAGAGACCCAGACCCTTGCATTGGAGTTGCTCTTAGGAGTGGTTGAGTCGCTGTGATTTACAACCGGTGCTCTGTCGGGTCGGGGCCTTGGGGTTGGGGATTCAACCTTTTTGGACCAAGGAGAGATATATGTGTATCTAACTTATAAACAGCAAAAAACAGACTGCAAAAAGCAATTTATACCTTTATTTTCTGAAAAGGAAGTGCACCTTCTTGGTGGATTCACTTCAAGACCTCAGTACAGGATCTCCTTCATCCAACCTACTACTTGTACTACTACTAAAATCAACTCCACCTTCATAGGCATCACCTCCAGGTGAGCAAGGAAAACTTGAAACGGTCTCCAGGCTGGCAGCCCCCCTAGCAAGCCCGACCTCAAGATCAGCACCTCCAATCTGTGCAGGAGAAAGCAGACAGATTTCACTCGCGCCATCACCCTCCATCATAGCATGAGGCATCCGTTCAATATGTATAATAACTTCATCCCGGCCTCCACTCATGGTGGAGACCTCATTCACATGTACAATACGCCTTATAGTACTTTGAAAACGAAAAAACTGTTCCGCATCATCATTCATCAATTCTTCCAGACTCATTGATCCTATAAAATTGTCTCCTCTAGGAAAATTGTCAACCTCAAAGTCCTCATCTTCACGTGAAGGAAGCAGGAACCGACATACAGGGCATGAGTTATTAATCTCGAGCCACGGCAAAATGCAATCGGAATGGTACATGTGTTTACAGGGCAACAGTTTCACTTCCATGTTTAACAGGAACTGGTCCTTACAAATTGGACAGGCTATAATCGGGTCCTTATCCAAAATTGAAGCGCTGATTTGTAAGACTTTTAGGGATTGTAAAGCGGACTTCGAGGTCGGGTTGTGGTGGCGGTTGGTGGAGGTGAAGGCGTCGTTGGTGGTAGCCATACGGTGGATGAGACGGTTGAGAGAAGGGCTGTCGAGGAGGAAGTTATCGTCGGAGGGGATGAGAGCTGTGCTATGATCGACAAATAAGGGAGCGAGGCTAGGGATAGAACCGAGATTGGGCAGCGGAGAAGGGTCGAGAGAGTCCATTTGCTCAAGGATGTCGGAGCTGCAATGAGGGCAGCGTACCGCCGGGGAAGAAGTCGAAGAACAGAGGAGGACGCTCATGTCGCACCCGTGACACCAGTGAGTCTGGAGGTGTGTAGCAGCGGCGTTGGCTGTGAAACTGGCGGAGGTGGTGGCGGGTGAAGCCATGGAGGTAATGGGGGGTTAAACTTGCCGGTGACTCACTTCTGGTGGAGAAATGCGGAATGGGGAGCTGAAGATAGACTCAACAGCTCTATTTCTTTTCTTGCTATCTTTGAGTTGGAGTCAAACCGGAGTTTTGTGTGGAGTACAAAAGCTAGCTATCGCTTCAAATTGCTGTTCTTGTGTTCAGTAAATACTTGCAGAAGTCATTACACGAAAAAACCTGCTCACTACGGTTCATCCAACTCAAAAAAAAATCAGGAGAACCGTCAAATCGGATCTGGAAGTATACCAAAAAAAATCAATTAGACTCCTCAACTAAAGAAACACACAATTACATCCTTGAACTATATAAAAACAATCAATTTCTAATCTAGCCAGTTGCTTCTTGATTAGAGCATCTTCAACCTTATTCTTTTGACGGTGACTAAATTTCGCCAAATGTCAATTATTTAAGATTATGTCTATCCACATCAATTGCACATTAAAAGAATTTAATAAAAGTTCTCCAATGCATAATGTTAACACCTTAAATTATTTATCTATGTGTCATTTTATATAATTAATATACGGAGTAGTTGAATCCTAAAATAAAAAAGGCATCTAAGTTGCAGTCAAAATCATAAATTAGTCAATTTATTCAATCGATGTAATTTTTTAGTAGGCATCCTAAAATAAAAAAGGTATCCAACCCATACGCCATATGATTTAACTGAGGCAAAATAGATGTAGAGCCCGTTTGGTGACCCCTTTTTTCGGCTTATCAGGCTTATCAACCAGTTTTTTCACCAAACACTTAACTTTTGATTTCGCGAGTTGAATTTTGTAATAAGCTGAAAAAGTAAGGTTAGAGTTACGTTTATGGCTGTATTGGCTGAAGTTACTGTAGAGGATCATTTTTTCTATTTTTTCATATAATTTTTTGTTTAATTTATTAATAACAAATATTTTAAACATAATTTTTTCATAAATCAGCAAAATCAGCCAATACAGCCACTTCAGCCAGAACATCATAAATTTCAGCAGAATCAGCTAATTCAGCCAATTTTAATGTTACCAAACGGGCTCGTAGTTTTTTTCTTTTAAATCATAGATTAGTGAATATAATCATTCGTATACCCTTTTTCGCTTAATATATAAATACTAGAATTATTTGGTTTTTCAGATCAACTGCTTGTTTATGAGAAACGTTGCCCACGAATTTTTTTGTTCTAGATTTGCCCGCTTTTTTCTCAGGAGTTGCACACATTGCTCCCAAGTTGCTGAGTCAGGGTGTTAAACAGCAGTTGTTATACCGTGGGAGCAGCCCACCGTGAGCATGCTGCTCCCACAGACAAAAATACGGGTGTTACTGTTCACGCGTGAACAGTAACTTATTTTTTGTTTTTCCAGTGTCCAGTAGCAGAGTAATGTAACTCGCGTGTAAAGAAATGTAATTCACGCTCATCAGAAATGTAACTGCAGGCAAGTCCAAATGTAACTTGTCTAATACGAACTATAAGAAATAAAACATTGATTTCCTTGAAACAAGGAGTCTAATTGCTCAATTACTTTACGTAAATAGTGAATATGTTTTGTTTTTAATATTAAGACCATAAATAATTTTTTCCCTTAAAATCAGTTTTTTTTTGCCAAAAAATCATTTTTTTGCAAAAAAAATCATTTTTCCGCCATTTTTTTCCCTTGCAAAAAACTCGTTTTTTTGTTTCAATAGCATGTGTTTACTTAAATAGTGAATATGTTCTGCCAAAAAATATTTTTTTTAAATCACTTTTTTGCTAAAGAAATCATTTTTTGCCTTGTTTGGCAAAAAATGATTTTTTTGTTTCAATAGTAGAGCTTTATGTTGCGATGTAACTTATGTTATAGAAAATGTAACTCACGTTGATGAAAAATCTAACTTAGTTCAATGTAAAATGTAACTTGTTAAGGTAAGTTCAAATGTAACTCGTGTAAAGGAAGATGTAACTCACGCATAAAAAGATGTAACCTGCGCATAAGAAAATGTAACTTCATATACTATCAAATGTAAACAATGAAAACATGAAGTCTAATTGCTTAAATTTTTTTAACGTAAATAGTTAGTATGTTTTGTTTTTTGTATTAAGGCCATAAAAATGTTTCAAAGAAAAATAATATTTTTTGCCACAAATATTAATTTTTTTTGCCGAAAAATCATTTTTTCCAAAAAAAATCATTTTTGTTTGCAAAAAAAATTATTTTTTGGTTTCAATGGATGGATTTATTTCGTGATGTAACTCGTGTTATGAAAACATGTAACTCATGCTAAAAAATCTAAATTAGGTGTATGCAAAATATAGCTTGTTGAGACAAGTCTAAATGTAACTCGTGTATAAGAAGATGTAACTCATGGACAACAAGATGCAATTCGCCTATAAAAAGATGTAACTTCATATAATATCACATGTAATTCCATAAATTGGCTATAAACATAACTCACACATATGAAAAACGTAATATAATTCATGTTTTATGAAATTTAAATCGAAAAAACAAATTTTATGTCTTAAAAAAACTAAAAACATATCAAAGAGATAAGAAATATATTTTTTTATAAAGAGATAAAGAAATATATTATAGAAAAAAAATTATGAACATGAAGATAAAGATTTTTTTTAGATGAATTATTATGTATTGATAAAGAATAAAAAATAGATTCAATTATAATTTAAGATGAAGATAAAGAAAGTAGGATTGCAATTAAATTTTTAGTATTTTAATTTGATGGAAAAAGAAAAGAATTGAACAAAAGAAAAAAAAGAAAAGCAAAGGAAAATGAAATAACAAAGTTGGAGACAAAGGAAGTGGGAAAAGGAAAGCAACGTAACTTTCCTAAAAGTGGGATCGGCACACCATGCGCAAGGTGGGCCGATCCCACGGTATAATTTGCGGTTAAACAGGCTGTGGAAATTCCAACAGAGTGCTTGAAAGCGTTGAGTCCACATCAGCTCCAAAGACCTAATAAAAGAACGGACCGGAGACAAAATTACCACCATACTTTCAAAAATAATGATGTGGCAACTTTTTATTATGTTAACAGAAGCCCATTGGAGATGCTCTTAGCCTTGAAAAATAGAAAGTTGTTTAATAAATATTCAAAAAAAATAAAATTTATATATACAATAGTGGTGTTATATGAGAATATAACATAAATTTTTTTCTCACATAAGAACCGCCACTTCGAGTGGCGGCTTTCCTTAATCACAGTTAACCCTAACAGTATTTCGGGAATTATTTTTAACCTAGTAGTATTTTGGAATTATTTATCTAATTAGCTTTATTCCGGGGGGAACTTGTCAAACGGTGATAAAATTTAAATCATAATTTTAATTAGTATAATATTTGGATAGTTATAAATTTTGTACTTTTATGAAAGTGTTTTTAACGAAGAATATTTTCATTTCATTTATAAATAAATTCCTATAAAAATATATAATTGATCAAAGTTGAAAATGGTTGATTAAAAAATTCAAATATTACAAAGTTTTAAATATTTTAACATGTATACTTAATGTACTTATGTGGATTATAAAGTATCGAGTCAGCTATAAGTTTTGGACATGATGATTAGTGAAATGGGTTCTCACTACAATAAGAGTCTCAAGAAAGAATTATGTTACAAATTTTGGAGATAAAATTGCCGCCTAAGCAAGGGGTAAATGTGTAAACATATTTGTCTTGGAAAAGATATTCTTTCTCAAGAAGAATATATGGGTAAATAGCAATATATGTAGTACAATAATATTATATACGGTCACCTTTGTCATATTCGAAAGAAATGGGGATTATTGTTGCAAAATAGATTAAATACGTGTTAGATGACTTAGAGCATCTCCAATGCTACAATGTGCATGATGCACATGTGGCATGAGAGAGATAGACACAAAAGATTGATTTTATGACATCTCTCTCTCCGTCTTTCCACGGTCTTATATGTTTTTGGTTAGTTTTTTCCTACAATGTCAACCACAATGTCTACATCTAGACATTGTGCTTGACATTGTGGAAAAAAAACTTACCAAAATGATATAAGATCCTTCAAATAAAGAGAGAGATATTCTATTTATTGTTTTTTCATTGACTATCTCTCATGCCACATATGCACCGTTAACGTTTTAGCATTGAAGATGCTCTTAATGTGTCATAATGATTATAATGTGTGGTAAAACAGCATTGAGTATATAATAGGGAAAAAACCCCAATATTACTAAAACACATGACTTTTCCTAAAATATGATTGAGAGCCTTTTTCTTCCCAACGTATGACCTGACATAATGGTTGTATGGTCTAAGAGAAGTAAAACACCAAAAATGCCCTTAAAATAAGAAAGATACTACGCATCAGAAAAGGAAAAAAGTAGGAGCGTGCGCCATAAATTAATTAAATTGCTAAAATTCCTGTAGTCCGTATTCAATGCTGAAGTGAACCCTTGGAGAAGACTTGTTAAAAGGTACTTGGTGATTTTCTCTTTGTAACATACTCAGGGCATGTTAAACTTACCGCCTATGTCATTAACCGGCTATTATGAAGTGACGTTGCCATGTATTCCAATGTAGTTACTATCCATGCATTTAATGACCTAAACGTAATTACTGTTTTCGTATGCATTTACTTCCATTTTTCCTTTACTACCTATTTCAGTTACTGCTAATTCCATTTACTACCTATATAACTTAATGTCTATTATTAATGTATGTGCCTTGTATTGCCATATTCTTATTGTCCATGTAGTTCATGCCCTGAAACGAAGTTACTGTCTTCCTATGCATTTACTTGCATTTTTTTCTTTATTGTATATTTAATTTACTGGTCACATTTAGAATACACCAAATATAATTTCTATTGTGATTTTTGTGGATTAGTATCCCCCCCCCCCCATTTTTTAATAATTTATTGTCCATGATTACACTATCTTCTACTTACGGTCTTTGCAGTTATTGCGTTGCCATTATTTCTGTTACTGCCTAAAATTGAAATGTGATGTCATCACACACCATGAGTGGAGGAGGGCAAGAAGCGAACATGTAGGAAATCACAATATTCTTCCCTACGTAATTTTCCCCCATAGCAGAAAACAAACTCCAATGAAGAAAAGAGAAAGTAGAATTTGACGGTATGGTAATGCCGGAGACGTGAAGACTAGAAAATAGAGTATTTGTTACCCATTTTCCGTCGAACCGAACCAATGTCCGCATTTCCGGTGAATTTTCTGGACTGGACTCCATGGCTAAGTGTAGAAAAGTGTCGAACGGGGAGTTATCGTGACTTCGGAGAGGGGGAGAGTAAAACAAGGGAGCAGTTACCATACATAAAAGTATTCCTTAATTATAGGAATAGCATTCAATAAGAAGTCATGCATGTATCCGCCGTTCCCCTTTCACAATGGATAT